TCCATTAAGTGCTTCTGATCACGGTTTGATCTCTCTAAAACTATTATCTTATTCTTCTTTATCATCAAACTTGTAACCATTACTTCCATATCTATTGGCAAAACAATTCTTCCAAAAACAGATGTCTGTTTACTATTGCTAGAAACCAATGTAATAAGGTTTAGTTTAATGCCAAAACCCGCTATTTTCACAAAATCTTGTATCTCATTTGAAAAATTAGGCTCCAGAGACTTCTGGAGAACTTTTTAACATTTAAAAAAAGTAAAAAACGCAGTTAGTACGCACGACAAAGAAATGAGTTAAGTTGATCAATTTTTTTTAATGTGTCAAAAAGCATTGTCATTAACAAGCAAGAACATTCATTTAAAAGTACAATTACAGTTATTCTCTAGTTAGGATTTTTCAATATGTTTAATAAATTATTTTATAATTTATTCTTATTATTTAAAAACTCGTCATTTACATTTTTACGGTTCATCTTAAGTTAGGAAAGTTACAAAGATTTTTGCATATCAACAAATACTATACTTTATAATAAGTTAATAATGTTTTTTTGTTAAAAGAATTAATTATACTTTCAATAAAATTAATTAGCTGGTAAAGTAAAACAAAAATAACAACAAAAAAAATCAAAAATAAAACTTGCAATCAAATGTTTTATTTATGTTATATTTGCATAAAATAAGATTTAAAACTATATTAATATTATTAATTAGGGGCCATCCATAAAGGACGTCACCATTTTTTAGCCAATTTTTGACCCCCCCTTCCTTTCTCACTGGTTGTCCTTTTTCCCTATACCCCCCTTGAAAAGGACGTCATAAAGTCCTGAACCCCCCCCCCTATTTTTAACTCCAAAAAAATTTATTTCATCTTGCAATGATGTTTGAATCTGCTGCTACACCTTTGAAAAATAAAATTAAAAATATTCTCATACATTATCTTCTTAAAAACACATGTTTACGTAGTTTTCCATGTTAATTAAACTAAAATAAAAAATTTATAAAGTGAGGTCCTTTTCTGACAACCTCTCCCCCTCCCCTTGTCTTTTTTTGTCCTTTTTAACTCGACCCCCTCCCCACCCTATTTGGATGACTATTATGGATAGCCCCTTATTAACAAAAATTTATAAATAGAAAAAAAAAAAAATTTTAATTTACAAATACAAAATTTACGTGAATTTTCTATTTGTAAATTTAAAAAAAATTTTGTATTTAAATAAATTTTTTTACTTAAATACCTAGTATAACAGATATTTAAATGTGCCGATTATATTTAGTTCCTACACTTGTGTGGTAAAGATCCTTAAATGCCTTTAACTAAATTCATTAAAGTAGCATATTGCAACAAAAGTTCTTTTGACAAACATTCTATTCGATGAAAATCAGCAAGCCAACCAAGTTTCTGAATTTAAAATTATCTGGCTTTCAAAAATTATTTAAAAGCTATCAATTTAAATAAATTTTTGAACTTTTGAATTTATTTAATGATAAAAATTATAGTATAAAATTAGATAAACAAAAACAACAATATCTATGTTAATAAGTTTGAAATTTTTATTTAAGTATTTTAAAATTTTTAGTTTTAAAATACTAAAGTACTAAAAACTTAAATATTCTCCTTCATAAAATGCGGACATCTTGCAACCCTACATATAATGTATATTATTTGTATCAACTAAAAATCAATTAAAAAGTTGTTTTAGCTATTTGAAAAGTTACAAAAGTATTAATTAAATACTATTTAGCGTCTTTTTTTTACATTTATAATTTAAAAATGAAAACAAAAATAATAGAAAACAATATATGTAACTAATCATTTAAATCTTTTGGAACTGAATTTAAAAGCAATGTACGCAACTAAAACAGATCAAAGTTTCAATGAACAAATTTGATAATTCATTCATTAAAACTTTAATTGCAACCATTGTCTTTTGTTGTTGTTTTCTCTCTAATATATCAAACAAAGAAGAGAAGCGATTTAAAATTGAAAACTTAAAAAGATTGCTCAGAACGAAACAAGTTGAATAATTATAATTATAATGAATAATTATAACAAAACATTTATAAAATAGAAAAATATTTCTGCTATGAATGTAGCCTAGCCAAAATTAATTTCGATTGAAATTTATTTGTCTAAAAAATGTTATGTTTATCTCCTTTTTTAAATGTCAATAACCATTTATTTTTTCTATTTTTTTTAGGCCACACTTAAAATTCCAATTTTGCAAAAACGCTGTATGAATTTTTTTCTTGCCTAACACCCTGATCTTTAAGACTGTACCAATTCCTTCTGTACCAATCGAAGTATAGAAGTCACCCTTGATGGACAGCACTCAGGCCTTCTCGTAAGAGGCGTGTGATCGACAAAAGTGCGCGAATTTCTTAAAAGACAGACAGAAAAACAAACATCACGTTTCTTTAATATTGCTTATGCAAATGTTGCAGTTTGATTAGGATTTTTTAAAACGAACGTATCACTTCAGCAATTATTTTCAAAATAATTTTGCGATCATTAGTTTTTTATTTATTGTAAAAAAAACATATGAAAAACAATTAATTTCAGACTTAAATTAATGCCAAAACATAACTAATTTTTTTCAATAGCATCACTTTTAAGTAAAATAACATGCTTTAGAAATTATGTTTTAGCATGGTTTTTGCATGCGCTCACAAATGCATACATAATTTTACTTAAAATGAATGCTTTTGCCAAAACTTCAAAAGAAACCATGCTCAAACATTTTGATTGTTTTCTTTTATTGAGAAAAGCGATTATAACGTCTAACGATGGTTTCTTTTATGCTTTTAGCAATTACATTAAAAGTTTAAAAGTAAATGTATTAATTATAAATAAAATTTAACATGCTTTTTTTTAAATTTTTTTATTTTCCATAAAGTGAAATAATGTTTGTTTGCATATTAAAACTTTTGCACTTTTAAAAATTTTTTTATTGTGCATTTATCATTAATTTGCGCGCACTTTGCAAATGTTTAAAAAAAGGTTTTTGAAAAATAAAAATTAAATAAATTTACCAAGCATCTTTGATATATTTAATAACTTATTAACTAGAATAAAAATTATTTGAATTTTATTTGTCATAAATCTCTTAAATTAGACGTTTGTTAATAAATAAAGTCAACGTTCATTAAAAAAAAAAACGTTATGTCACGCCCGGAGATAAAAAATAGTTGGCAGATGCGATTGTTTCAAAATATTTGTAATTCCTTTTTTTTAGTAAATAATTTCTTAATTAGAAATTATATTTCCATGATAAAATGGTTTGTAATTATTTTTTGATAGATTCTGTACTCAATTTGCCTTACTCTAATCTGAATATTTTTTTCAATGATTGCCTTTAATTAAGTTGCATTAAAGTACTCAGGAAACTTTGTAAGAGTTTAATTATAATTATGGAATCAATTAAATTAAAAATCGCATTTGTTTTTTTAAGTGCATTTTTTAAACGCGCTAATTATCAAAACTTGCAAAGAACCGTGGTAAAGTTGTTAAAACAAAGAACTATATGCGTGGTCATATAAGGCGTGCAATCGCTAGCCTCTTACGAGAAGACCTGGCACTATACTTCATTTTTTTTATAAATTTAGGTGATCCTCAAGATTCTATTCTTGGCCCTATAATTTTTTAATTTATATTAACAATCTCCCTGAAATTCTCAAATCTAAGGTGGCATTGTTCACTGATTGTATTTCCATTCATTCTTGTTTTGATAAGAAGTCAACACCCTCTGATTGCTTAGAGGAGGCATTTAGGCTTGAAAAGGATCTCACTTCTGCTACATCAATGAACTTTAACTCAAATAAAACTCCATTTTTTTTTATTTTATTTAATCACTATTGCAACAATCTAGATCTTCCTATATTTATGAATGGTAATCTACTCAAAGAGTCATCTTTTCTTTGTCTTCTAGGATTAGCTCTTACTTATGATCTTTCTTGGAAATCATATATCAAAGCGTCTCTTTATCGTTCTTGCCACTTTCTTACTACAAATTCTATTCCTTATCTCTATAATTCTCAAATCTGTCCTTGTATGGAATACTCTTGCCATATCTGGGACGGATCTTCCAATGATGCCCTTTCTCTTTTGGACAAGGTGCAAAAAGACATTGTAAACATAGTTGAAACTGCTCTTGCAGCCAACCTCAAACCATTGTACCATTGTCATAATGTTGCTTCTCTTTTTCTTTTCTCTAAATACTATAATGGTCACTTCTCTAAAGAGCTAGTGTCTCTTGTGACATCTACTAAAATATACTCTTGTGTTATGTCATTCAATTAAGTATCATTCTTTTACTCTGACTGTTCCAAAGTGTTCTCAAAATTCTTATCTGTCTAGTTATTTTACTCAAACACGACTTTTTTTGAATTTACTCCCTTTATCTTGTTATCCTGATTCATATAATTTGCAATCTATTAAGTTGTCTGTTAATTGTTATCTTGCTTTATTAACTTTATCTTTTCTATTCCAGTAACTTCCAACTCTAATAGTGGTTGTTTGCAGCCTTGTTGAAAGTGAACATTTTAAAATCTTGAAAAAAATGTTGAAAAAAAAATCTAAGAGGTTTGAAATTTCTAATAATACTTTTTGAGAAAACAGTTTGACAAAACCTTTGAAGTCTAAACTGCTTTGCAGCTGTATGTAAGTTAAATAATGCTTTAAACTGTTTGTTTTACAGTGCTTTAATCATGTAATAAGATTTGTTTTTCTTGTCAGTTTCTTTTTCAAAATTATACTTTTAGTTTATATTTAATATATTTAAAGTGCTGAAATTATACATTTAGGTATAGCTATAAGTCAACTAGTGTGTTAACAAATGCAGAGATAAGGATTCAAAAAAGAATTTTAAATAAAAAAAATTTTAACCAGTGAAGTTATTTATTTTTATTACTTTGTTAATATTTATACAAAAGCAACCATTATTGAACAAAAATAATCACTTTAAAAAAATTTTATAAAATTTAAGAACAAGTATTTACCTTTTATTTTGACTTCAAATTTATCTGAATATACTGGTTTTTCCATAAGTTTTGTAATTTGAACACCACATTGGTAGGTCCCACCATCAGATAAAACAGTTTTAATTTCCAAAGAAGGAAATATATATCTCACAGTTCCATTTACAGATCTAAAACTGTCATCTGTCAGGACAGAATCATTAACAGGATATATTCTTTTGACACCATTTTTGAGCCAAAATATGTCATCTTTTGTTATAAAATAATCTATTATCAATGCTGTAAAACGACAACTAGGAAGTTTCAATATTGAACCTGCCTCTATCTCTACAGATGAATTTTCAATTTGAGAGAATGACAAGTCTGAAAAAAATAAAATAGATATATGTGAAATAAATTTAACAAAAAATTTGCTATCAAGAAAATAACATTCTTGTATAACAACATATTAAAAGTAAAATAAAATAACTGTCTGAACTCAAGTAAATAGCTGAATTAAGTAGAAAACTATTTCTTTGAAAATATGGAGTTTTAAAGTTAAGGACTTTTAAATAACCAGACCTTGCGTGTACTTTAACAAATTAATTCTTCAATTGTTAAGTTAATACACTAAAATAGCTATAAATCTTATGACAATATATATACAATACAAGGTCAATGGATAAAATAAACATAATCAAAAATTCTGTTTATTGCATATACAGCTAGATTGCTTTGTAAAATCTAAATAATCTATTGCCAACTGTAATTAAGCAAATAAGTATCTAAAGAAGTTAAGCGTAATTCAATTAAGATGTTTGTAACTTGTTGAGTACTTTTTGTAGCCAAAAAACATTTTAGTACATTTCTAGTAATAAGATTGTAGATTTAACAGAATATTTATACCAAAATTAAACAATAAAGCTGAGTCATACAAACTAAGGCATTAATTCTCAAATAACTGTTTGATGCTTGGTATTTTAGTAAATATCAAGCATCTATTAATCCATCTGATGAAAATATTTGTGTGCATTTATTGTACATTTAATCTCTTGATTTATATCAGCATTATCAGTTAAATTAATTTCAGTTATGTTACCTAGATAATTAAATGTCAATGTCAAATGTCAAAACTAATTAACAACCAGCTAAGGTATAATAATAATAATAATAATAATAATAATAATAATAATAATAATAATAATAATAATAATAATAATAATAATAATAATAATAATAATAACAATAATAATAATACCAATAATAATAATAGTTTGTTTGACATAAATTTATAACTGTTTCAGTAAGGCTTAAATTTTTGTTTAAAATTCAATTTTAAAATATGTTCAATTTTAGTTTAACATAAAAAAAATAATTGCTGCGCTTTGCTGATCATTTTTTATTTCAAATCTGTGCTTGCAGATCTAAAATCTGTAACTTGACTTTTGGTTTTTTTTCGTCCATGTTTCTCAGAGATAAAGTTTATCATGGTATACCTATAGGCTAGAAGAAGACCATGATAATAAATATTTGTACAATGTAAAAGGGGAAAAAAGAGAGATTGATTTAATTACAATAAAGTTATTTTCAAACTATATTTGGAAGGTGTAAAGTTCGCAATCAACATTTATCAAAGATGGTCTTATAAAAACATCACAATCAATATTGCTAAACTTTTAATTTCTAATAGATAATTAGTTGCTAGAACATTTATTTTTTCATGTTTTCAAAAATGAAATTTTACAAGGTAGGCATCTTTAAGTTGTCATATATACATGGAGAAAACAGTTGAAGATGGGGTTTCTCTTTTTTTTTTTTTTTTTTTTTTTTTTTTTAATATGTAGTAAACCATTTACTTGACTATTTATCCATTTAATATTTTTACTCAATAGTAAAACGCCTATTTTATATGTTTTTATGTAGTAAACAATTTGCTTAACTTTTATAACTAATGACCATTAATTCTACATTAAGTTTTATTGCATAAAATCTAGGATTTTAAATATGATTTTAAATACAAGCAAATCAATTTAATAATAATTTTTCACATAAAATTTTTTAGAGATGTTTTTATAAACTATAATTGTACTTTTGAAATTTGTATAAAACTTATCTTTTTTCTTTAAGAGTGTTTATAGAAGATCTGAAAACAGGTTTAAAGAAGGTGCTAGCATAGACTTATGTCTCAATTTTTCCGCAAGAGAATGCTATTTTAGATTTTTTATTAACCTTTTTTTTTTTTTCAAAAAAATATTTTTATTTTATTAAAAATATTTTAATTTAGTTTCGGGGTCAGCTTTACCACACAGGTTTTTAAGAAAACCCCAGATTTTCCCTCCCAAAAACCTCAGAAATACCCAGATTATGTAAACAGTAGTAAGAATCGTGAAAAAAGATCTTTTTTTTCACAGGAATTAGCTCGTAATTACCGTACATAGTTAAAAATAGCCCTAAACCTAACTAAAAGGGGAAACTACTGTGCTTGTGGAGATAAATTTGACGAGCTACACGCAATGTCATGCAAAAAAGGTGGCTTTGTTTGTAACAGACATGATAACATCAAAGATTTATTAACTGTTTGCCTAAATAAAGTTTTTACTGATGTTCAAGCGGAGCCGCATTTAATTCCATTGACAAATGAAAAATTTAATCTCAATACTGCCAATACCAACGACGAAGCTAGATTGGATATAAAAGCAAAAGGATTTTGGAGAAAAGGAGAAACTGCATTTTTTGATGTTAGAGTAACGCACGTAAACTCCAAATCCTCCATTAAAAGCAATTTACCCCATTGATTTTTGGTACGAATGGTGGGTTTGGAGACGAATGTAATTGACGAATGTACGCTTTACGGCACTACTCGCACAGAAACTGTCCTTAAAAATGGGTGAGCGGTACGGAGCTGTTATAAATTGGCTAAGGACACGTCTTTCCATGGAGATTACTAGAGCCTCCCTACTCTGCTTAAGAGGGTCACGAACCCCATTTAGGCATTATAACACTGACAATGTTGGCCTTGAAAATGTGCATTTTGGACTTATTTAATTTGTATTTTTAAATTGTTTAAAAAAAAAAAAATACTAAAAGGGAAAAAAAAAAGATTACTACATCTGTCCAAGTAGTGAAATAACATCCGCGCATTTTTGTGTAAGATCATCCACTTTTTTTCTTTACTGAATTAACATCTGTGCAACAAGTTCTAATAACAACAATTTCTAATAATAATCAAGATGTCTAATAACATCTTTAGAAAGATGTAACTACATCCGAGAGTTTTTCTTGATGTGTAACTACATCCGTTTAAAATATTGCATTATTAAATAAAATAAATTTTCGGACGTTGTTACATCCGAAAAAAATCAGATGTGTAACTACATCTTGTTAAAATAATGCATTATTAAAAAAAAAATTCCAGATGTAGTTACATTTATAAGTTACATATATAATTATTATATTATATAAGTGCTGCTACATCGACTGACAAATAGCCTGGCTCGCAACGGAGTGCTGCTACATCGACTGACAAATAGCCTGACTCGAAACGGAGTGCTGCTACATCGACTAAGGGTTAAGTTTGGGCAGGCAGTCTATCAAACAAATTTAAAAAAAAAATTTATTATGCTTAAAATTATTAAGTAATGCTTAGAATTCGGATTTTTGATATAAAATTCGAATATCAAACTTCAAATATTCTTTAACTATTGAATAAAGATGTTTGCGCAAACCGATAATCAAATATAAATCTTAATTTTATCAATAAAAACCCCAAAAAACAAAATAAACCCAGATTTGCCAATATTTTTCAAAAAAAAACACAGAAATCTAGACAGAGGTAAAAAAACCCAGATCTAGTGAAAAAAACCCAGATGTGGCAACACTGTTCGGGGTCGTCCATAAAGTACGTACGATCATATGGAGGGGAGAGGTTTATATGTACAATCATATGGAGGGGATAGCAGATTGGATTTAAATTAAACAGGAATCAAGTTAATGAAATAGATTGTGTGTGTGTGTATATATATATTATATATATACATATATATATATATATATATATATATATATATATATATATATATATATATATATATATATATATATATATATATATATATATATATATACAATAACATATATGTCTTTAAAGATGGGATCTGGTACCGAAAGCAAGGGCTTTGGGGTTGTATAAAGTATCTAAGGCAGACTAGGGAGATTGGTCCCTCATCAAGCGTTCAATAAAGTAATGGGTTGGGGAATGCGATCAACTTTAAAAGACGCACTCTCTAATTTGAAAAATATATTTTAATTCATACATTTTTTTTCAAAACTTTTTTTAGTTATTAAAAAATAAAAAAAAAAGGGTGAAGGGATTTTGTAATACGTACGTACTTTTTAGGGGTAATAAGAAAGACTAATGACAATAGGAGGAGAAGGTTAAACTTCTAAACTTTTGAGTTACGCACTTTATAGACGACCCAGTAATGCTGCGCTCTCCTCCGTAAAAATATTAAAAATCTAAATAGCTTATTTTCATTTGAGCCGCTGTAGCCTAATTTTTAAAGATCAGATTGTAGACAAGGCTGTCCCTAGATCTTAAAGGGGGTGACGTATTTGTTTTTGCCGACTAAGGCTTAGAATTTTTTTTTGCCGACTAAGATCTAAAAATAAAAAAATAAAAATAAAAAAAATTCCTCGTTGGCTGCCAACTACAGATCCAATTTTTGCCGACTCCAGTGTATTATAAATTTCGTATGAGGCTAGACACCTCCTACGCACCCCTTCCCTCTCGGAACGCCTCTGATTGTAGATTAGGAGTACAAAATTTTCAAGACTAAGCCTATATGTTTGCCTAATGCAATATGATGATCCAAAATCAAACGCGATTTCACAAAATAAATTTACGTCATGTAAGTTTTAATTAACTTAGGACTTGTACTTTCATCTTGGAATATAATTTTACTCATTGGTTGCCAGAGTACTACTTTTTTTCTTTCACTCTTTTTTCAAGATTTGATTTTTGTTTTCCAAGTAGCTTTTGAAACAGTGACTGGATTTCAAACTGCACCCCATTCTATACATTTTATGAAGAGGTTTCTGAAAGTATGCTCTTACATAGTTGCCTTGTAGTATGCACTTGGATAGTAGCTTTGATTAATTAAGTCAAATCATGAATCGGTTATTTAACATTGATTTACCGGGTTTTGCATTCATTTGAAACAAATGTGACATCCATTTAAAACATCGTGACAATCAATTAAAACAATCGTGATTTTCAATTAAAACATTTAACGCATGCTCAATCTCAACATTTTATATTATTCAAAAAAAAGGTTTAGTTTATATATTTGTTTATTAAATATTACTTAAATTTATTTTTATTAATATTATATTCATTAATTTTAATTACTGGAATTTATTTTAATTTTAAATAGATGCCAGATTTGTTTTAAATGGATACAAAACCCGGTATGTGTGTACGCCCTACTTAGAAAATACACTGAGAGGCTTGATGTTAAGAGATGTGTATTCTATAAAGAAAAGAAAAAAGGAGAATAGTGTCACAGCAAATTTATGAGCAATGAGATATTATGAGATACATGAGATATTATGAGATATTATGACATACAATGAGATACAATGATATACATGAAATACAATAATATACATGAGATACAATGAGATATTATGAGATACAATGAGAAAAAAAGTAAAATTGTTTAAATCTAGAATCGAAGCACGGCCTTTCCGAGTGTGAAGAAACCCCTAAACTGCTCCAAAGCAGCTAAACGTACAGTTACCATTTTA